CATTGACGTGGCTATGAACGATAATTTATGCACGAAATGTTGTCCGGTAAACAATGCTCTACTGCTGTTTTCTGGGAAATAAGAAATCTAATGCGAGATAACACCCTACCATGGTACTTAATTCTTACACACATATTTGATTCCACCTTTTCATACTGGGATAAACGCCACCGGCTTCTAGGTAGACGGCAACCTACGCCCTAAAGAGGAATAACTGGAGAGGTCTAATACTGTAATGCGAAAAACCTAGCCATATTCTGAATTCTCCCTTGTGAATGCCACTGAGCCTTGATGGCTTAGTAAGATTTAGGACTCCTGAGAATCCGCCGGTTTTTTAAGACGGAAAACACTGCGTCGATGGGCTTGAGTTGTCACCTCCCAGCTAACTCATGTGTTCAATTTAGGACAAAAAGATGCTGAACCAAGCGGCCAAATCAGCAAAACCAAATGTTTGACGGCACATTTGGGAAAAACGTCTTATGCATCGTCTCCTCACCACCCAGTTTGCAAAGGTGGGTCGGCTGAAGGCAGGTACATAAATTTTCCAGTCTACCTTTCTCCCTTAGATTGGTGTCTACTCACTGCAATGTCGTGGGAGAAAGTAGTCAACTCTCTGAATCAAGTAAAGAGGATTGTTGTGTCTGCATCCAGCAAACGAAGAATCACTTATTATCATCGTGGGTGTAGATGTGTTTCTTAGGTAGACAGACTGAAGGATGAATCATATTCCTGAGGCCCATTTTTTGGCCAGTTTCGAATAAAAGTGTGCACGCTGTATGCAGGCCATTCCCAAAGTCTGGACCCAGAAGCAAAAATTGAAGCAGCCACCCCAAGGACAAACTATGCAACAACAGTCAACACTACGTTGAAAATAAAACTTATTGACTCCCACAAGCTGTCTCAGCACTTAAGAGGTGAGGCCGCATCGTATTCTGCTCATTAGCCTGTACTTATGGGTCATCATACGGACATTAAAGGGACCACCAACTTCCCCGAGTAAGGGTGGCGAAACACATTCCCAAGTGGCTGCAACATCATATCATACTGAATGATCCAATTAATCAAGGCAAGAGATGCTTAACTTCGTCAATACCTAAGCGTATCGCCGAAGCAGGTTATAAGGTTGATGTAGCTAACCGAGACCGGTAGAAATGGGGCATTCAAAATTAGCATCTTTGAACTGAATACAACAAGAACTCACGGTGATTATTCCCGATTAGAAAGCGAATGGCTCCGTTTCTCTTGTGTAGGTGTAGGTTTAAGATTCTCGCCGGCTGCATAACACTACTAACTTAAGGATGCATGGGGGTAATCGACGCCAAGCTCGTTGTTGCACTATATGTTACTTATCGGTAAGATGCGCTCATGGACTCTCAGGAAAAGACTCTCCAATGCGATCTTATTCTCGTTGGGAATATAAATATAGTGCTTTCAAATGATTACGCTTATCTTGTGGTACCTAGAATACTGAGATACTGAAACACTCACATTTCTTTTGTCCTGATAGCTTCCTTGGCATTGGTTCACCTCGATTTCGTCGCAGTGGCACGTTCCAACTCAGACTACTGGGACCAAACTATTAGGCTTGTATCGCACAGTAGCAGTGATCTTGGTACACTTTGGCGAAAACTACTCTATTCGTACTGTTGCCTCTGTTGAAGATATCGTGAGGACTGCATCAATAAAATTTCGAACACCCCTTTTGTTTATCTTGTTGTTGTTCCGGGCCAGCAGCGCCCTTCAGCAGTTTCCCGAGGCTCTACAACCACCATAAACCTTGTTCGTCCGGCCTCTCCAGTACACGGTTAGTTGCATGAATCCCGCCTGGACTTGGTTCTGTAGTCCTAAAATGACATGCTACTGGTTGAATACAAAGTATGCAGATTTGTGAACAGCCATTTAAAATAGCTTTTTTGACTTGCAACAAAAGTGATATCTCATTTGGATAATGTGGCAATAATGATATTACTAATATTTGACATTTTGATCCGAGCAATGTGCCCAGCGTGTATATAAGTCACAAGGTCGATTAGTGCACGCCACGCACACCCATCCACGAATTCTCATGGCAGCGAGCAATCAAAGTGATTCGAACCACAACTGATGCAGACCTCCCTGATGCATTCGAAAAAACTTGTTATAACAATAATAATAATAATAATAATAATGATAATATCTGTTCCAGGATATACACGCACCATTTTTACAGGTATGAATGACATCCACAGATAATCAACTTTAACAGCATTGGTGTGACTTAAACAGAGCCCGCGTAGTTAGGAAACTCACGTAAAAGATCCATCGCCGACAACCATAGCGGCCCGAGATAGTTGATTTTGTACCTAGTGAACAAAAGACGAACAGTGGCTTCTCCGCCGGCATTGGTGCACAAACACGGTCTTCTATAACCGTGAATGAAAGTCATTGTGGTCCCCCCTGGTATGCGAGTGGCTAATCACGAGTTTCGAACGGAGGCATGCCTCACATAACTTATACCCGCGTAAGCTATACATCAGGCTGCATTTCTAGCCGACTTCTCAATCTTCATTGGTGCCGTAGGTACCCA